GAAACTTTACCTCGACTTGAGACCAACTCGAGTTGCAACCAGAGTCACGGAACGGATTAAGTTCGTAACTAGAGGTACCACTGTACCAGCACATTTTAACAGTCAATCTCCTTAGCAGAATAGCAGAGAAGTGCAGGTTTCAAAATCCCATGAGGTCCAAAGCAGTTCTCCTGAATCCATTTTGAAGCAGGCACAGTCCTACTAGATACATTCTGTTTCAGATCTGGGAACACAGGATATCTTCACAGCCAGTGGCTCTGTTCACACAACATGCTTAAACCAGTCAAATCTGGTAGTATTGTATACTTCTGTATAGTGCCTCTCCTCATCCTGTCAGGCTTTTGCATACAATAAGTGCTGTGATTATTTGCTAATATATTGGTTGCAATGTTTTTGTTGCTGTGAATTTTATTGCTCTTAATTGTATTTTTTTTAAAAAACAAACTTTTAAAAATGTTACAGTTGTTGTATATCACTTAATTTGAGCATTTCTGGGGAAAGCTATTTATAAATAGTAAAAATAAAAGAAAAAAAATCAATAATGTCCAGGGTGTATATTTTTCACATTTATATTTCCAGGTTCCTCCTCCATTGGAGATGGAGAAATATTTCATTCCATGTGCTCCAGAGAATCCAGTGTTTTTCAAACTTGGCAACTTTGAGATATGTGGACTTCAACTCCCAGAATTCTTAAAGTTGAAAAGTTGAAAAACACTGAGATAATCCAATACGAAGGAAAAGAACCACCATAAACAGTAAGAAAAACAGGCATTATAGTGGTCTTGATTACTAGATACCCCCCCCCCCCAGTGTTTGAGAAAAGAATATTCAGGTCAAGCTACATCTTACCTGAAAGTAGGAGCAATGTCTCTTTCCTCCTTTTCCTTCAAAAGAAACAGAGGTAAGTTTCTTGCACTTTTAACCTGAAAAGGATCCAAAGTGTGTGTAAGAAAGAAATAGACGGGCTTAAACTAAAAGCAGCATTTGCGTTTAAAAGAGAAGCAAAAAACATAAAGCTTGAGATTTCAGCAGGCATGGAGAGGGAATTTAAATCTTTGCTCCCTTGTTGTGATCCTGAAAAATCAAGAGGAGATTTTCTCACAATGCAAATGACCTCTTTAGAAGACTGATTTTCCTCCAAGGGTTATGAAATCCCCTTTCCAATAACTGAATTTGAATAACCAACAGTCCCCCCTCCCCTCTAGCATGTACTTTTAATTTTTTTATGTTTTAAAAAGAACAATCTTACATATGAAAAGCAAAGGTGTGTAGCATTACATGAAAGTGGAGTGTAATAGAACTTATTCAGGCATAATTTGGAGTTATATGAAGGAGTTCTAGGAGGCCCCAAGGCCACACGCTTCCTCTGTCTCTATTCTTTATTCATATACAACAATGACAGATCCTTGTTTGTGCAATCTATTGTTCAGTGCTGTGTCTGGCTAGCTATGCTACAGTTGGTCCTTGCCTGTGAACAGGATTTGTTGAAAGTAAGGATGAGCAGAGAATCACAAGAGAAAGAGGAGGAGGAGGATGCAGGAACCTGAAGAAACACCTAATTCTAAATCAGTGAGGATGGTGGTAGCGCAAAAATGGCAGCCAGCTGGCATTCTCCCATCACCCTCATTCTTTCTTAACTGAATTTCCATTTCAGGGATGAAAAAAAATCCATCATCCTTCACAATGTTTTTACTGGAGCAATTCCTAAACCCTATATAAGCTCCAATTCCTCTATTTAGACTCAATTTGTAAAGAAAGAAATGATTAAAAAGACGTTGTGGGTAGAGCTCCAATCCTCTCTCACCCAAACAGAAATAAATCTGGTAGGACCTCACCAAGTATTGATCATAGTCTTCAAATTATATAATTTTCTACCCAGAAGAGTAGGAAGTGCAGAATGTTTGTTTGCAGAGCGGAAATTTCCCTTGGAGAAGAGAGCCTTGAAGTCTTATGATAGCACTGAAAATGAAATTGAAATTGCACATGGGATTTTCTACAACAAAGAGTGTCTATATGTTACAATAATTTTAGCAGAATAGAAATATAATTAAGACTTGTGTAATGTGGAAGCTAATAGTCTCAGACTTTTATGGGGGAAAGCACAGGTTGGACTAGGCTCATCAGGTCTCTCAGTCTAATCTATCCTACAGAGTAGCTGAAAAAATAAAATGGAATGATTTCTTTGATTAATTGGCATAGGAAGATTTTCATTATGCTGCCCTGGGTTGTAACATCTATTTAACAGGTCAACATACAGCAGCTAATACTTTCCCTGTTCTTGTATATCCATGTTAGCTTCCTCAATCAATTTAGATGTGACATCAGTGAAGGGAGGAGGTTGAATTGTTCTCCCCTCCCCCCATATTTTTCTGGTTAAAATTGCTCCTATTGTTTGGAAAAGATATAAATACATGTGTTATTTTCCACCATAGGCCAAATAAATATAAACTATGATTCTAGAAACACTATGGCAGTGTTTCTCAACCTCAGCAACCTTAAGTTGTGTGGACTTCAACTCCCAGAATTCCCCAGCCAGCATTCCCCAGCATGTTGGCTGAATAATTCTGGGAGCTGAAGTTCACATATCTTAAAGTTGTTGAAGCTGAGAAATATTGCACTATGGTGTTCTGCTTAGGTTAAACTGATTTATTTACTCAACGTTCTTCTCTGAAAAAGAAAAGATATCCAAATCTGGGTTGACCAAGCTTTATACCCAATCCATTAATCCACAGATTTGG